TGCTTTAAATGCGTATTTATCCCAAATGCATATTTTAGATAATATTCCAAATGAACATTTTGGATATATTTCAAATATACATTTTGAATATCTTAAATAAACATTTCAGGTATATCTCAAATATGCATTTTAGATATCCAAATGCTAATATAAAGTTTGTTTATATTTTTATTTACAATTTAAATAAAAATAAAGTTTTATAAATATAAATATTAAATATAAATAAAATATAAATTACAAATCTGTTATTTAATAAACTTAAATCATTAATGATCATTTAGAACAGTCTGAAATAAGTCTGAATTAGTCTTTTAGAATATTCTAAATGCTTATTTATAATATCTAAAATGAACATTTAGAATATTATCTAAAATATACATTTAGAACATTATCTGAAATGTGTATTTAGGATATTATCTAAAATATAAATTTGGGATATTATCTAAAATGCATATTTAAAATATTCAAAATATGTATTTAGAATATTATCTAAAATGTACATTTAGGATATTTGAAATATGCATTTAGAATATTATCTAAATTGTGCATTTGGGATATTTGAAATACTTATTTAGGTTAAATGCATATTTGAGACAAGTAAATATTCCAAATGATCTTGTATTTAAAATATCCAAATATGCATTTTAGACATCAAAGTATTTAAGGTATAATTTGCCTAACAGAACATTTTACAAACAGTTTTTCACATTATATTTCTTGTTTTTTGATTTACTATATTTGATATTTTAAAAGAAGAAATGATAATAGCATAAAATTTGTGAGTAAAAAATGTCACATTCTTTTTATAAATTTCACTTTGCAAATATTTTATTTTTCATATCATCTGAGAAATAGCATTATCAAGTCACAAGACTTTTTATTTTTACATTTTAAATTAAAAGTAATTAGCTTATCCCTTAAAATTATCCATATATTTGCATAAATGAATAATTTGTCTAATTTCATATTGGTCAATTTTATCTACACTTTTAGTAGGAGAATATTATATAAAGAATATACAGTCAACATTTGATATAGCGAACTCTTAATATAATGAATTTTTTAAACAAATATAATAAAAATACTCATGTTATAGCAAATTGACTAATCAAATCTCTTAAAATCTTCACTATAGCCTTATAGCAAAGTTGAAGTCTAGGACATAGAGTTCGTTATAACAAGTGTTAACTGTACAAATACTAGAATTAATAAAGACTACATGAACAGACCTATCTGCTTAAATTTTGTAGAGCTATTTTTGCATCTTATAAACCCATGAAAATTTTCATTCATTAGTTTTACAATATATGTGATTTTACAATCAGATGTTATTTTATAAGGAATAGGTCATCTTTTTTTAAATAAAGAGATCACAAATCACATTTAAACTTATAACAATATGTGAAAAGCATTGATAGATTGTGGAGATAGGTAACATAAAAATGGTTTTACATGAATTTTAAAAAAATTTGTGAATGAATTATTATTGTTTGTCATAAATTTTTTCAAGATTGAAATAATAAAGATGAACTTTGTTGATTTTGTTTGATCCTATATTATGGTTAATTATCATATTACTAAAATTAATTAAAAAATCAAAAAATAATAATCATATCTAGCAGTCAATACTTCATCAATTACTCATCAATAATACTTGCAGGTGCATTTTTATGTGTCTTTGAAGCAGTATTCTGATATGCATTATAATTCATATGAATTTTGCATTCACCCAATATACATGATTTTTGAAGTTTCTTGTCCTTATGTTCATTAACGTCTTTTCATAAAGTTTAAGTTTATTTTCAATGGGTTAATGTTTTACCCAAACTTGTTGTGATGGACCAATATGTGAATTCTTGGTATAGAAACAGCAGTATTGATTCAACGAACAATTGTATTATAAGCATATCTTATCAAGCCCATCCAATGTTTCAATTGCTACTTTTGAGGGTGATTTGGATACACTTTGATAAGCAGTGTACGATTGAGAGTTGTTTTCAAGTAGAGGTTAGAACTGGCTAAAAATTCTTTAACCGGTTAATAACCGGTTAAAATTAGCTTTGGCCAGTACTATAAATTTAGCCAGAGTTAGAACATATTTTGCAATCATAAAAATCTTAATTCTGGCCGGAAATTGAATTTCGGCTGGATTTAAATTCATCTATTTTAACCGGTTAAAAAAAATCTTTAACCGGTTAACATGTTAACCGTTTTAACCGGTTAATTAACCGGTTAAAAGTTAACCAGTTCCAACCTCTATTTTCAAGTGTTGTCGCTTGTTGCGTGCTGACCTGATCTTTGTCTTGCGCTTTTTTCCTAGCCTGGCATTCTCATCGGTGAATAGCAGCTCTTCTTCCTTGCATTTGACAGATAAAGACTGTGTTGATTGCAAGGATATCTAAGGAAAGTTCGTGTACATCGGAGGTTGCATCGTCAAAGAGAACCACGAGTTTTGTAGTATGGAGGCAGTATATGTACTGATGAGGTCAAAGGCAAAGCAGCATAGTCAGTCACAATGGGTAACCACAATTTCTGAGACCATTTCCGCGACTTGTCTGTTCCAATAAGGTCTTAAGTCCTGGTCACTTGAAGTTGACACCCGATCCAATATCGCTGATGAGTTCGTAGGTTGGGTATCGGGATTTGAGGAGTTGTTTCTGCCATTCAAGATCCTCTTTTTGCTTGACACTAGAGACACATGCATAGAGGAACCCTTTTTTGGTGGTGGTGGTGTAATCGACATTTTGGGAAGTCAACTCTGGAAAAATGGAAGATATGTCGTAAAGGCGAGTACCAGAAGGAGACGTTTTAGCAGTAATTCTTCTTTGCTTTAGCCAACGACGTAAGGTATCTGACGAGATTCCAGGTTTTCTAGTTGCCTTGTGTGCAGACAAATACACGGAGGAGAGAGTTTGAGTTTACGATTTTGAACGTTTGAGTCTTATATGATTTTCATTGTTAACGATATTACGATAAGCAATACTAAGCAATTATTGGCAACTGCAAATAATCAAAATAATCAGAATATCGGCGGTAGAATTTTGATATAACGTCAATATAGTTTTGTAAGATTGGAATTATAACGATAATAAAAATGGAATGTTGTTACTTCCAATTCTCCAATATCAAAATACTTTTTGTAATAAGTTAAAAGAATTTTCAAAATTATTCCTCGCTTGAATCATTGAATTCTTCTTCAAGATATGTTAAGTTATTTTATGTGAGTTAATTTCCTGAATATTGTGTATGTTAAAGACAATTTCGTCAAATAAAGTGCTTGAATATTTAACCTTGTTGTTCTTGGCCTTTCGCAAGAATAAATGAAAATACACTTTCTATAAAATCAATTTCTTTCCTTTATACTGTATAGATTTCTTCAGACGATTGATTCAAAACATTCTGCTGCGGTCATTAAATTGGAATTTCTTCCATAATCATAAAGTGAAATCAATTCTTGTGGTAGCTTATAGGATGTTTTTTAAAGGTTTTCTTTCTTCCTCTCAAGATAAGAAAGTTTCGTTCTTGTTAAATACAACAATATGTTCTAAAACCGTAGAATGTTAATAAATAAGTTCGATTTGTGAATAAGAAATTGTATCTCATAAAAAACAATCCAAGGGCAAAAAATGCCTTGACATTCTCTATTCATTTTTATAAAAAAGAAAAAAAAAACTAAAATTTTTTTTTTTTTTTTTAACGTTAAATTCCCGTGAAAAGGTTTTTCTGGCAACAAAATAATTATTTATAGCTCAAGTGGTTGTGAAATATATGTATATTTATCAAAAATGAAATGCACAATCGTTGAAGAAATATGAAAGGATTTATTTTTACTATTTCATATTTGAACTGGAGGTTGTAGAATCAGAAAACGAAACTGTAACGTTTCTGGGAATGTCTTTTTCATATATAGTTATGTATATTTTCATCAGTTAAACCAAATAACAGTTATTACAATGAAAATGATTTCCGCCCACTGAATGATAATTTTCTCCGTAAATAGACTTGTATGTAGACCAGTTTGTCATGTTGCCAGAATGTTCGCCTGGACGATTAAAATTTATTATTTATACGATGGGTTTCTTTTGGGAAATTATGCAGAATCGTTTTCTTTATTTTTATTACATTACAAAATATTCCTTGTCGCGTCATTGTCATTTTTTTTTATAATTATTTCTATTTTTTTAATTTCCCGATATTTTAATGTTTTATTTGTTTATTTTTATTTTTGTTTTTTTTTTTTGTTTTCGGGTTTAATTAATTAGAATTTAGTGATTAGCAGCATTATTGATTGAATAAAACGGAAAGTTTAGAGCGCCGATGTTGAGTCAACACTTGTATTATTAAATAACTTATACATCATAATTGCCTAATTTCTAATTATAAAAATCTTACTGCTTAAATTTTTCATTATCCTTTGTTTATAAATATAAACGCAAAGAACTGAATGCAACATTATCATCATGCATGCTATATAGAAAAGTAAACACAATCTACTCATAAAACACAGAGAAAATTAAACAATGAGAACATAGTACGAGTGGTCACATTGTTTATGAAAGTTAATACACATCACTCTTTCGCTCGAATTTACACGGTAGATGAAGTTAATCGTTGATACATTAATAATTTCCAATAATTTCAAAACCTTTAGATCTAATTTTGTTTGTTAAAAAGAATTATTAATAAGAATGGGGGGAACAAAAAGATTTATATAAAAAATTCTTTGTAAATTTGATTTCATCTAGAAGAAACGGGAAAAGAAGTAATTAATTTATTAAGTGTCTAGGAGTGATTCATTTTAATCACTTTTGATGATAATTAGACCTTCCCATTTTTTTTACCGAAAATATACAATAAAACCAATTGGAATTAACGAATAAACGGCGTATATATATAATATAATAATACTGTTAAACAAGAAAAATAATTTTATTATAAATTTTTGTATGAAAAATATTCTCCATTAATTTTTTAATTTAAAAGTATTCGTGATTTAATTTTTAATAAAATTTGCTGATTATCATCCATAAAATATATCCTATTAATTTTAAATGATGATATTTGGTATCAAATATGATTGAATTGCTTGAAGCCGTTTGAGATGGTGGTTTATTTGCTTGAGATCTACGAGGTTTTAAAAATTTATTAGAAAATAAGAATTAAGAGCTCATAAAATTATTTTTTTATTTAACTTACAAACTAGGATTTATATCTGTTGGAGATGTCGAAGATCTCCTAGTGGTTATGGAATCAACAGAAGTCCTATAAAACAATTAATTATTATAGCTTAATATTCGTACCCATAAATTATTATTTAAATGAATGATTTCTTTCTTACACTTTAGATTCGTTAGAAGGAGTTGGTTTAATTTCTTCAGGTTCCTGAGTTTTAGCTGGAACTTCTTTTGGAACTGGATCATCTGAAGGATTGATAAATGTAGGTAGAATAGGACTCATCGACAATGTCGCATCCGGTGTACTACAATACCATTGACCATACTCAATATTAATTAATTCTTTCTCGCGCCAATAATCAAATTAAAAAGTTATTTAATTACATTTTGGGTACATCATGTGTTTTAGGTGGTTCCTCAGGAGCTTTAGGTTCATTCACAGGAGTTTTAGGTTCTTCCATTGGAGGCTGCACGGGAAGTTTAGGTTCTTCCACCGGCATTTTAGGTTCTTCCACCGGCATTTTAGGTTCTTCCACCGGCGTTTTAGGTTCTTCCACCGGCGTTTTAGGTTCTTCCACCGGCATTTTAGGTTCTTCCACCGGCGTTTTGGGTTCTTCCACCGGCGTCTTGGGTTCTTCCACCTGCGTCTTGGGTTCTTCTACCGGCGTCTTGGGTTCTTCTTCTGGTGATTTTGAATCCGTCTCAGGAGATTTATTTGTCTCGGGAGGTATGGGTATCTTAGGCGGTTCGGGAGATTTCGCAGGAGTATCCTCAGGAGTTTTCACAGGAGTATCCTCGGGAGCTTTTTCCGGTTCTTTTGCGGGATCATTGAGAGATTTTGGTGCATCCGGAATTTTGGGGTTATCCATCGGAGTTTTTGGTTCCTCTGTCGAAGTTTTGGGAACATCTTGGGCTGATGTTGTAAGTATTAATGAAATCAAAAAGAATACCGAAAGTAAAAGAGTACTTTTTGTTGTGAATTTCATTTTTTTATATATATAACTCTGTATATATATTATAATAAATTATGTTAGAGAAAATCAAGGGTAAAACAGCAGGAATTTAATTTGTTTATATAGACATTTCGAAATGACACTTTGTTTTTTTTATATTTATATAAAATATATCATGCATTTTGCTTGATATGAAACCGGGTTTTTATCGCTGATAATGGCTCATTTTAGTATTACATCACTCAAAATATAATAACCCTTTTTGTCTATGTAAATAAGGAATAATTCAAAATGAAAATTCCATGAATTTTGTTTTTGAATCGTACGATCTTCAAGAACGAAATAAATAAATGAAATCATAATAAACCATACAAATTTCATACAATTTATAAAATCAGTATGGAGATAAAAAAAAAAAAAATTCGTCCAATAAGCATAAACCATACCATTTATATTTTCTAATGTTTACATTCATGACATTTATGATTTAGTGGAGTAATGAATCAAACTTAATATGGCAGTGGGTGATTTGCAAAAATCCAAGGATTATCTATTGACCAATCAAATTGATGGGGGTTTCAAATTTTTAATAAAAATTCCCGTTTTTTCTTCCTCGAAAGAAATTCTATTAATCGGATTAGGCAGTTAGGAACGCCCTCTGACGAACGAGTATGAGTTTCTTTCATCGAAAATTCGAACGACTAATCCCTATATAATTTGAAATCATAAATCATAGTGAATTTCCTTCTCTTATTTTTAAACATTAACTGCGGCAACACATGGAAAGTTTCAGAAAATTTTTGCAACAAATTATTATATACATGGGCTTTAAATATTCGGAAATAAATTTTGGTTAGAATTACTTTGGGGTTTTTCCAAACAGTAGACTTTGTTCGAAAACAGTGATGTCTAAAACTAGGCAAATTTGGTACATTTTAATACCTCTACTTTGAGACCGAATGTTTTCTGAATTATACGGAAAAAAAAATAGAAGAAAAAAACCGGAACCAATGCATCACGTGATTACATTTTGGCGGAAAACAATAATTAAAAATTGGCGATTAACTCACCCAGTTTTTATAATTATATTCCACAAATATACATTATAAAAGTATCAAACATTTTCAAAGTCTATTTGTACAACTTGATTCTATCAACAATTCTAAATGTTTCAGCATAAACCTTACGAGATTAATAAATAAACTATTATTTTTATCATTTGCTCTCACTCCATCATTATCTGCATAAAAATCTCTT